TTAAAAGAAATAAGTTTCTTTATAATAAGATATGTCAATTTTACGAGGTAGAATTTTTCACTAACGCAACTTGATAACTATGGGCTAAGACTGAAACTATGATTTTGTTTTTTTATAAATAATTTTTGAAAGGCTTTCAGGATTTAATATGGTAATTTTTCTTTCTTGTTTATACGGAGGATGGACAGAATTTTTTCTCCGACTATGAAAAGTGATATAAAGAAACATCCAAACAATTCAACAAATATCCAAACGGCCTACAACTAACGTCGGATGAACATCAAAGAATTCTATCAATACATTCTTGATATTTGATGATTTCTCTTATTCCTTAATTTAAGAAAAATTTCATATTTTCTCTCTCGTTTCGAAAATCTACATAGTTTCCGTTGTCATCATCGTTCTCTTGTTTTTTTCTTATTTATTTCCCATAAAAAATAGCAAGTATTTGCGGACAATTTCTGATAAAATCAAAAATCCCGAGACACTTCAATACACACAATCAATTCATCAAACTCAGAACTCCCTTTCGCAATCTTACATCATTTTCGGTTATTAATCTGTCACATTATGTCTCTACAAAACTCACTTTCAATCGTCCTTCATCATCACGTAGGTGTAGCTGTCCATTTTTTTTATCACCACTATCTTTTCGATAACTATTCACAAAGTGTCGTTCAAATACATCTGCCCAATTTCTACTTTTATCTATTGATCTTACGTCCATCTCCATACTTTCAACATCCACTTTTTTCGACTTATCTTTTTGATTTTTCTCCATTAACCTCTCTTTTTTTTTTTTTTTAGTTTGGTAAACAGATTTCTGAGTGCTTCTGGCTTTTCTATTCTCTCTTTTCCATTTTGCCGCAATCCGGAATTGTTTTCCCGTAGCTTTTACTTGCTCCGGCTGAAATTGCCTGGAATCTGTACCTGTACTGAGAGATGAAAAGGCATTCCGGATGCTCATCTCTGATATTGTCTATGTTTTCTGAATTGTTCACTTTGCCTGAATATTTGATAATTCTTAAAAACGTAGCCAAAAGGACCATATTGAACAATTTTAACAAAACACACTCACTTTATGCATTTGGAACATCGTGAAACATTTTAATCAGCGTATCTGATCAACGCTTTTCCATATACTGTACATTAACATATTTCTATTTACCTTTCTTATATTAGGCAACTTGTCATACGTCCCTATTTATACTCTTTATAGTACCATAAATCTCCAGTTCTTTAACATCATCGTTTCTGTTAATTCTCGGGCATATGTTATAAATAGATCCACTTAAGCTTTCAGATCCAACGTGCAAACAAACACTATCTTTCCTCGATACTCAAATCGATAATCAAACACCTATGCGGCAATCGTTGATAAGGTGATGGCGATTAATCCGGATTCTTTGTCATTCTTTTATTTTATTGCCTTTTATATTTCTAGATTACACGTGTCAATTAAAACAATATTTCTACATAAAAATAAGAGTGATACATGTATTCATTTCAAGAAAATAAATATAATTAACACTGTAATTTTTATACTTTAATATTTAAATTAGTATAATCTTTCTTAACAAGAAAATATTTTTAAGTAAAACAAAACAATATTTTAATTAAACACATAAGTATTTTTCATGAATTCGTTATTCATTCATTTGTTATAATTATAAAAGAATTATTTAAATTATTAGATTTGATAAACTTTTATCGTAATTTTATTTTTTTAACACTTTAACTGCCACCCATCATAAATTCCATCTTTGAATTCCATAGATTTATTATGTACCGACTTAAATATATTTACCCATATTTTATATTTACTTTCCTAGATTATTTGTGATTTTTCGGAAATTTAAAAATTTTCTATTTTATAAAAGTTTTTTAATCTTATTTAATATGACTATTATTTAATGTTAGATGAAATATTTTGATTATAGAAATAAAAATCTTAAAATAATAACTAAGTAGAAAATATTTGTAAAAATTTAAATTTAATATATAAATTCTTAAATTGGTTGTATAAGATTAGAAACATTACTATTATATTTCTGATATATACATTCATGCAATAATAATAATAATAATGCGTCAGAAAATATAATTTAAATGTATTCTTTGTGTTTTGTGAAACTATTATTTTCGTTTCTGTAATTTTATGAGCTGTAAGATTAAACCTACAGCCTTTTCTGAGCTTTTAGTTAAATTTGACACGGTCCACTTTACTTAAGTGAAGTACTGAATCTCTTGAGATACTTTGTGTGTAGTCTGCATGAAAGTCCTTATAAAGAATCTTACTGGAATTTATAACAATTATACGATGTTGAACTATTATAATATAATTAGAAGATTGAAATGAATAAATTTACTTTTTAAAGTAAATTTGGTTGATTATGTGATTAAATCATTTATAAACATTATACATATATTTAGAAGAGAATCAGGTATAACTTTAAAAATTACACTTACCTCTATTAGAAAATGATTGACAAGTCCTTCGATTAATGATAATCACGACGTATAAACTAAATCTTTACTTTTCGACAAGAGTAACTTAAATTTATTAAATTAACATAAGTTTAATGACGTTTTAATCATCAACGAGAAGTGAAATCGAGGGCTTGTTCTGAAATATATTTAGCGCAGAATGTAGAGAATGATTTCAATAATTAAAAAATTAATAAATTATATGTGTAATATCCTGTATAAGCCGAACTCTAAGCTCCTGCTAGGTCTCTCTGATCACTCAAAAAATCTAATAAAATATATACACGACATATGCATTTCGGATCGAAGTGGAATTAACGACCCTCCTTTACAGTTAATGAACTATTATAAAAGAAAATACACTTAAGTATTGTAATTTTGTACTTTCCTGTTTTCATTACATTGTTAACCTATTAAGATCTTTTAATTGTTGTAGATTGTATAATACTGCTAATAATTCTGTGAATGTAGAAGAAATGAAACTGAGACATGCAAAATTGTAATGTTCTGTAATTTTATTGTCCAACGTCACCTACATTACTTTAATTCGAGGAAAAAATATACTTAATATTGAAGAGGAATCGTTAATTACATTTCGATTCGAAATACATATACCATGGTTTTCTTAAAAGAAAAAATAAAGATATTTAAGCCGTTTTAACTGGATATTTTGAGTGACCAGAGACACCTCGCAGGTACGTAGAGTTCGGCTTATGCTAGATATTACACATTAATATTACGGTTTCCCATAAAGAAGTTTAATAAATTATATATTCTTAAGCATTACAATATTTAAAATTAATTTAAAATCTTAAAATATTAAGAATAAGAACGAAGATGATTTGTTTTCAAGGATGATTGTTACCAACTTCTTTCAGTTTAACGCATTATGGATAAATATAAATTAAGGTTATATTTCACAAATGTTAAAAAAAATTATATAAAATGATTTAATAGGGATATGCCGGAATATTAACATTAAAAACACAATTAATAAATTTTTATAATGTTGTTTATCTGAATTTATAAACAATATTCATTTACATATTTACATGTTTCGAATTCACATTTTTGAAACTTTTACAGAGTAAGATATTTAGTAGACTAATAACAATTCTAATTTTTATTACAGTATTTCAACATGAAATTTTTATACATAAATATATACATGGAATGAGAAAAATTGAACAACATAATTAAGTTAAATAATTTATATTCAGTTTTCTGTATTTAAAATAATTACCGTTAATTTACACTTGGTTACACAAATTAATGGAGTGATTGTTAAAATGAGATATGAAGATAGTAATATTACGTAATAATTTATTTTAATAGTATCCGAAAAGCTATATAAGATACCAGTTAAATAATTGTAACAATTATATTGGATATAATTTGAACACCGTGATGTTATACATTAGTGTATCTGATAAATTATATATGAAGTTGAAGCAAATTATTTAAAGAAAATTAAAATGACATACAAAAATTAAAAGAATAATTTTCATATTTTATTCTTATCATTCAGTTTAATATATATATGTGTGATAATTTCAATCAATATAAGTAGTTAAAAAATAAAATTTTACAGAATCTTAATTTATTTTGGTTAAAGATACCGTACAAATGAACATATATTTTATAAAAATATTGTAGAATATTCATATATATCAGCTAATATTTTCTCTATTTAGTCACGATATAAGATATTCATGATTTTCAGCTTGATGACGACTTAATAAATTATCTCAATTCATAACGTTCAATTCATGCCAGCGACTCCATACGTAACGATAACGAATTCTGTGTATATTTGATAATCTTTCATCAGAGGCTTAGATTAATGCACAGATGTATTATAATCTCCTTTTTCGCTCAATAAAAGCACAGGAGATTAGTTTAATTTCAAATGTGCTTCCGAAAGCCACCATCTATCTTCACTAACTTCTATTTTTGAGATTATCTATGATTTATTCTCAGCACTGGTTGTTTTCGTCTTCTACATGAGAACTAGTGTAATGATATTTATTTAACACAATAAAATCCACAAGTAACAATCTTATGCATTAAAGAGTAATGTTACCCATTATAATTCGTACTTCATGATTACTTACAGTATATGTTAGTACGATATAATAATATAAAAATTAGCTCGTATGTCTTTGTAAAGATACGAGCAAAGTAACAATTTTATAATATATTGTTAATTTAAATAACAGTTTAATTTTTGTAATTTATATGTTTATTTTGTAAAATCTTTCTATTAATTTGTGCAACCGAGAGTTGGAAGTATTGTACATATAGAAAAATTCTATACGAAATTTATTATATATTGTTAATTAAAAAAATAAAAAAAATTATTAATATTCCATAATGTTTTATGTAAATGTTAATAATTGATTCATAAAAGTAAAAACAAAATATTAATGTAATATATTTAAAAAACATAATAAGAATACATATATATTTTAACTGGAATATATCATAAACATTTCGTTGAATAATTATATATATATATTTATCTTCCACTGCATAACAATCTAATTATAGCCTTTCTAAAATCTTCATTAAAAACAGTATATATAATAGGATTTAAAGCAGAATTAACGTAACCTAACCAAGTTATAAAATTAATACCTCGATCAGAAATATGACAATTTTGACAGAATGGTAATATGACATACATAAGGAAAAATGGCAACCAACATAATACAAAAACACCCATAACGATTCCTAAAATTCGTGCAGCTCTCCTTTCTCTCGATAGTGATATTCTCTGTTTTTGTTCCATATATTGACGAACATTGACTGATCCTAAGCCGTTTCTTGTTGTGGTGTCGGATTTCCTACTACCATTTGTACGAAATTGATCTGTAGGAGTCGATGATGGACTCTCAATTGTATCATCGCAAGTTGAATCCATTGGTATTATTTGTGTAGTAGTAGTTTCTGGCGGAATATACTTTAGTTGAATACTCTTTCCACTACTGTTAGTTTTGGCAAATTTTGCCGCAGCCTTCGATTTTTCTCTCAATCTTCTTTTTGTAGCTTGAAAGATCTTAAAATACACAGTAGTCATTATAAAAAGTGGGATAAAGAACGAACCACTCGAGGAATATATAACATAACCTTTTTCTTCTGTTAATCTGCAAGGTGTCGTTTCATCAAACATATCAGGCCAGTCATTCCATCCGATCAAAGGCGGAACCGAAATTAATATACTGATTACCCACACTAATAAGATCATAACCAATACTCTCTTCAATGTTCTTTTCTGAGCGTAGTTTATGGGATCGTGTATAGCCCAATATCGATCTAAAGCAATAGCACATAAATTTAGAATAGAAGCTGTGCAACAGAGAACATCACATGTTAGCCACATTTCACACATGTGAAGTCCAAATAGCCAACGTCCCAGGATAGAATAGGCTACGTTGAATGGCATTACCAATACAGCAACTGCTATATCAGCTACAGCTAAGGAAACAATAAACATATTCTGAACATTTCGAAGTGGTTTATAGGTGAACACGGAGAGTATTACGAGAACGTTGCCTACAACTGTAGCAATCATTATGGCTGAAAGGGATGCAGCAGTTGCTATAGCTTCTGGTACAGAAACTTCAGGAGCCTCTTTTAGTAAATAGAAATCAGTAAGATTTTTTTCTTCATTTTGTAATAAATTGCTAATATTCTCTTTCAAATCAATTTCAAGAGGAGATGACTTTTGTGCTGATGGATTGTTTATTGCTGTCATATTCCATAAAGTGAAAGCGTAGGGAAGAAGAGCGTCAATCCACATAACTTAACCTTTAAAAATTTCTAAATTTATAGAGACAGTTTTCACTTTTCCATTGTGAGGCGTTTGTTTTTATTGAAACTAAAAAGAAAACAACATTGTCAATTTGTAAATTATATTTAAAAATACAGCAATGTAGATATATATAAATGCTTATTATATAAAATATTTAATAAATTATTTTTAAAATTTCTGAATTAAAATAAGTTGAGAAATGTTTCTGCAAGATAGATTTAAAATATTTTAATATATCTTTCAAAGAATAAGCTTGCAATAATTAGAAAATATTAAGTAAAATTAGTCTAGTTTTTATTTATTCTGAATATATTCTTCTCTAAAATGTAATTAAAAATAACTATTATCTACAGATTTTATGGAATTTATAATAATTTTTATTTAATTTAGATTGTTTTAGCTTTTTAATTACAACAGATTTAAAATCATAAACAGCAGTTGAACCATATAATTCAGAAATTTTATATTTTAGAAAATTGAAATGTTTCAGTTAATTTATTATATACAAAGTTTAAAAATTAAAATATCTAAAATTAGAAATAGATATTTTTAAGAATATCTTTTATTATGCTAAATCAAAAAACAAAATTAAGTTAAATTATATTAATTAAGGAACTACACTTAAAATTTGTAGTAGTACTACTGTATATATTGTAATTTGTAATTCACTTTAAGCTTTAAAACTCTGATTTAATAATCTATATAAAATAAATTTATAAAATTTTCAAATTATATAAAGTTAAACGATTATCCTAACAATAATTAACAACATAATTGCATAATTTTATTTTTAAAACGTCTAATTTTATATATCTGTAAATTTATCTACGAAATAATTAAAAATTTGTGGAAATAAATAAATTATAAAACCATACTCGCATTGATAAAAATAAAAATTAATTGTTAAAAATATTTCAAGAATCAAGATTAAAAATTAAAATAGATTAAAAAAAAACAGGATCTTTTCTTAAAATATTCAAAGTTTTCAAATCTTTCACCATATTTACCAATCGACCAGTTGTACCTTTAGGCAATTGGAACGTTTCGATTCAATAGTTTTTTCTTGTCAAACTTAGAAAAATCTGTTTTGAATTTACATAATTCAATATTTGATCATTTGGTATACAGAAGGTAATTTGCCTTCTTGATCATTTTTGCAATGAAATTGGAAAAAAAATATAGAGTAATCATACAGAGATTGCAAAATTCCAATAGAAATTGGGTTTAAGTATTAGTCTCTTTAATGTGCCTTTTAAAGTTTAAATTTAGAAAAAAATTAAAATAGTTTTACCGTCATAAATTGTATAGAGCTATAGATTTTTCTTGAAGTAAGAAATGATAAAACTTGTATGAATGTAGAACATTTTAATATATATTTTTTTATATATCAAATGTCGTGATATTCTTGATTGATTCATGATTGATTCATATTTGTTTTCAATCATTATTTGTAAGATTTATACAAAAGTTATTATAAACAAAGTGAAACTATTTTTCATTTGTATACATTTATTTCCTATAAATATTCGTAGAAACAAAATATAATAAGACATTTTTAAAAGCTTTTTGATAAAATATATTCTATATTCTTCTAATTTATGTACTTTATATAAAATATTCTGTTCATGATTGTCATACAATCATGCACAAAAATTCACACTTTTATAAATTTAATCAAAGAAAATTTATACAGAAATCTGTGTAAGTTCAAGAAAATTGAATTTCTTAAATAACTTTTCTCCTGTATATAATAATTTTTCAAATTCATAAGAGTATTTTCCTATTATAATTTTAAAGACACCTTTTTAACAACGTAAATTTCAATAACTATTTCTTTTTAAAATTTTCATTTAAAACAACAATACAATGTTTTATGATAAATAATTAAAAATTAAATTCATTTATGAAAGTCTTTTCATATTTAAATATATAAAAAGTGGCTTAACAAATTTTTTCGTGATTTAAACATGAAAGTATAAAAGTCGATAGAAATAAAAAAAAATAAAGATTTAAAAAAAACAAAACAAAAACGAATATTTGTGTTATAATTTATTGCTAAAAAGATACAAGAAAAATGTTTTTATAATTTTATTTTATAAGATCACAGGCAATGTTTTTTAAAAGCTGATTTTGAGAGAAAAACTAATGTTATTTAATTATAAATTTTAAATGACTACGTTCTTGTTTTCGTTTGAAACGTTATTCAAAATCTTTTTAAATTTCTCTATAACATTAAAAATTTTTTAGCTTTTTTAGACGAAACATTATAAAACATTTTAATGTGATAAACTGATGCGATATAGAAATATTTTTTTAAACATAAACAATTTGAATTTAATAGAACAGGAAAAAACAGTAGCATTTTTTATTTTAAAATTCGCTTGACGGTAAGCATATTTTTGATAACCAATCAAAGAAATAAAATGTAAAATAATATATATATTATGAAATATATATTTAAAAAATAGTAATATATCAAATTTTATTAAAAAGTAAGTGATATTTATAACAACAATTAATTAATATATCTTAACTTTTAAACACATTTTTCTACANTATTTGTGTTATAATTTATTGCTAAAAAGATACAAGAAAAATGTTTTTATAATTTTATTTTAAAAGATCACAGGCAATGTTTTTTAAAAGCTGATTTTGAGAGAAAAACTAATGTTATTTAATTATAAATTTTAAATGACTACGTTCTTGTTTTCGTTTGAAACGTTATTCAAAAACTTTTTAAATTTCTCTATAACATTAAAAATTTTTGAGCTTTTTTAGACGAAACATTATAAAACATTTTAATGTGATAAACTGATGCGATATAGAAATATTTTTTTAAACATAAACAATTTGAATTTAATAGAACAGGAAAAAACGGTAGCCTTTTTTATTTTAAAATTCGCTTGACGGTAAGCATATTTTTGATAACCAATCAAAGAAATAAAATGTAAAATAATATATATATTATGAAATATATATTTAAAAAATAGTAATATATCAAATTTTATTAAAAAGTAAGTGATATTTATAACAACAATTAATTAATATATCTTAACTTTTAAACACATTTTTCTACAACTTATACATAAATTTATTTTTTAATTTCATTACTTTATAATATCAAACGTTATATCAATAAATTTGACATGAAGTTTTTAATGACATTTTTAATAAACAATTTTATGTACTTTTTAAAATATTTTCTATAAATAAATGAGTTTATTAAAATGTTAATAAAATAATTTAGAGAAGCTAATGATATTTTTATATAGATTTTAAAAAAATTTTCAGACTTTAAAATGCTATTAAAGCAACATTATACAGTTTTGACTTTTAAAATATTAATTACATTTTTCCTACTAATTATAAATAAAAATAAATGAATTCTGCTGTTGAAATTAGCAATTACCACTATAAAAAACTATTTTTTTTTTAAATTAAATTCTTGGTAAATTTTCTACATTAAGCCCAACCTTTATTTACATACAAATTAAAGAGAATTATAGGCTATCTAATTTACATACAAAGAGCATAATAGTTCCCTATTTTAAATGAGATTGAGAGGAGTAACAATGAACAGACAATTATAAATCAAGTATCACGTTGTAATATAAATTTTTAAATGAATAAATATTCATAAAAACTTTTAAACTATGCTTTCTACTTTCAAACAAAAACAAGAGAAATCAACTGAAGTAAAAAATATTGATTTTAGAGATTCGGTAAATTCGGATTAATATAGCTTATAAGAAAGAATCAATAGTTTTATAAGTTATGAGCAGGAGTGGTTAAGAATGTTTCGATTGAAAAAAGTCTAAAACTTTCGTTTGAAAGTAGACAAAGTTATTTCTTTTATGCCAGACCGTTCCCAATAATGTCGGAATTTTTGTTCCTGATACCACCTTGTGGTGTTCAAGAGTTAATTTCTTCAAAAAGAAATTTATAAATACAAGTATATTTTACATTTAAAACCATTTTGTAAGGTATAAAACAATAATTTGAAAAGAATTTTAATATTTATAGTGTCAAATATCTTTTAAAAAATAAACAGTCATACGTTCTTTATTATGTGATATAATATTATTAAAAACGCATTAGTATAATTTACATATGATAAAAATATTTATTAAATATTTAATTTAATTAATAAGAAAAACTCTAACGGATAATTTTATATGTTTTGAAGATCTAATGGAAAGTTATGTTGTAGAGATATTTTCGATATTTTCCATTAACAAACGGTATTAATTAATTTGGTTAATTAATAAATTAAATCCACGATACTTTAAAACAATGTAACGAGGGAAAATACATTTGAAAGTTGTTCCTTATTCATATATTTATAAAAATCTAAAAGCTAATTTGAATTTATAATATTAACGTTACTGAGTATGCATTTGACAAAGTTGTATTGCTAAAATTCAAATTCTGATTCTGATTATAAACCAACATTTAAAACTTTACAGCTAAACTTTAAATATATTTTTAAAATAAAACTAATTAATTAATTTGTACAGTATATTTAAATAAGTTTGTGATATTATGTAGAGTATATATTTTATAATTATTATTTACATATAATTTTAAATATATAAGGTAATTTATTTAATTATTATTTAGTTCTTGAAGTAGTAAGTTTATATTTTTTATATTTATTATTTTATACTCAAAAACATCGTACATANAAGTATATATATATATATATATATATATATATAGCCTATATATATATATATTTTAATACAGAATTGCTGTATTCATTAATTTATTTATTTTAGTCTGCGTTAATCCAAGACAGAATGCAGTCATCCCCAATATGACATAACAATACTCATATCAATTGAAAGCAGTGATGTGCACACGGAAATTGTTTTGGAGATTTAACCCATCGCGTAGAAAGAATTTAAATATTAAATAAAATTAGAATTAAGTAATTACATTGTATATAACTTGTATTTATTTTACACCCGTTCAGTTTGTTGTTAGTCTATATGTTACATATCTAGCTATTTCATACGAAAGAATAATTCGTCTTTTAAACCCCGCCATGTTAAAAATACTGCGCA